TCAAAAACGAGCATCCGTCGCACAACTTTCTCGGCTACGCCCGCAAGAGGGATATGGCACCTATGCCACCTATTGTCGTCAGCACCGACGTAGACGAGACGATTGCCGAGGAGAGGGGCGAGGGGAGCGGACGTCCTCGCAGGCCAAATTCCCGGGGCAAATTGCCGCCTAAAGTGCTGCCCAGGTCCTCGTCCATTGAGAACACGTCTAGACGACTCTCGACCGGATCCGCTTCCTCGAGCAAATCCACGGAATCTTTGTGCGCGATCAGCGAATCCTTGACGGAGTTGTCAAAGACCGAGACTCCTCGGAGAGAGTTGGATCCCGGAGTCTGGGGCGCGACTTGTCAGCTGCTAAACTCGCCGAGAAGAGGGAAGCAGCGTCTGTCCGAGCCAAAGGACAGCAGGGGGGGCCCTCTCCTGCTCGAGAGGAAGACGAGCGGAATCGCCGACGTGAAATGCGCTGACCGCCGAGCCGAAAGCGCAGGGTCTAGGTTAGGGCCCAGAGTCGACGAGACCTCGTCGACGGATGACGACCCTTCGGTGTCGAGAGCTCGACCTTCGGAGCGATCGTCGGCCACCAGCGCGATTCGCAGGAATCGCTCTCGAGTCGACCGAGAGACAGGAGTGGACGGGAAGAGGGTCTCGGCGGGTCTGAAGCGCGATCCCTGGATGCAATCACTGGAGGATCGTTCAAAGGACCGACGATGCGGCACCTTACCGTCGAGAAAACCTAGAATTTCGTCGAGGTCGCTGCATAAATCCAGCGAGGATATCCTCGACGGCGAGAGAAGCGACTCGACTCGCGAAAAGCATTCTCGTTTGCGGCAGAGGTCTTGCTCGAGCACCACCGATGTCAGCCGCGGACTGAACGCCGACGAAGACTCGCACGCCCGACAAGTCCGACAAGGTGCTACTACTGTTTACACGGCGGACGCCACCGAGATGATATTGAAGGGGCAAACGGAACGATCCAGCTGCACGCAGCCACGGGATTACATCTCCCCCTTGGTACGTCACTCCTTCGAGTTCGAGAAGAGAGAAGATAAAGTCCAACATGGCGGTTTCGCCACTTTGCCGAGGCGGGGGAATCTCTCCAAGGCCGATCAAGCCGATCCCATGAGGAGATTTTCCGGGTCCGGGAACGGACCCGGAATCCTGGAACCGCTCTATGAACACGCGGTTAGCGATCCGGTGAAGCCGCGAGAGATCCAATACGTGATACCCTGGTGGGAGCTGGCCACTAGGAAGTACAGGCATCGGAGTTGCCCATCCTTGCAGGTAAATTGGGTTAGAAGCGTGATGGTAGAAGCGTCAACTAGCCGTGACAGGTTAGGTGTCGAGATTGCCGTCGTGGTGGTCGTGCTCGTCGCACCTCGGCTCGTCGCGACGATTTAGGTCAATAGCTCCCGTAAACACGTGACACGTTGGAAATGCAGGAAATTGCAGGCGGCTATTCTTTCTTTTCTTTCGTTCTTTCGTTTTTCATATCGATGCTTATCGGTATTTATACAGGGGACGACGGATTGTGCGTGCTGTGAGCGAGCAGAGAGCACAATTACTCTCTACAAAGCGCATTTCCGTTTGATTCGCTCTCGAGCGAATGATACACAGCGCGTTGTCGCAATGTCGCGCATTTTATGCTCCTCACATGTGTGAGGCGAGAGAGAGACGTTACGAGATATTGATAATTTCGAACGAAACGGACTGTACGCAATAAACGTAGCAATTTACGAGAGACCGTTGAGATCGTTCGGCAGCCATCTCGCTGCCGTCGTGCAAACGGATCGATCCGAGTGCAATGACTCCGAACGATTATAGCAATGCGCACTTGTTCTGATGTGATTTATTCCGCTCCGCGGAAAGCTGCGGGGCACGACGTACGAATGTCGCGTCGATATGATCGTCGTAATAAATTCGATAATCAGCCGTCGAAATTGCCGTCGAAATTGAATCTGCATGTCTGTCGGTGCATCAGGAAGACGACGGCAGCGTAATGTAGCGTAGGTCGATCACTCGCGTGGTCTCGATTGAATAATTACGCGCGCATTTACTTCGGCGCTCTTTGCGTTTGTCACCGCGACTTTACCGCGACGACGAGAAAAGAATTCTTGCCGCAACTGAAGTCGCAACGGTGATGTCGGTGATGGGTCTTAATCGTATAAATTACGGAGCAACAAGTATATACTTGCACTCGCGTACACTGCTAAGCAGATTGTTTTCTTCTTGTTTTCATAATATTGAGTATTCAAATAAAACCAGCCCCTCTTCGGGATGCGCTTGTAAATATTGTAAATTTAGATCTTTTTACAGCTCCAAGATCTTTCTTCGAAACAGGAATTTTCGGAAAATAATATTTCCCTTAGAGATAACTTTCTGCTTTTTGGAAATTCTGCTTTGGAAATATATCCAAAGGAGAGGGCAGGTAGTCCTGGCCCCGGGGACCTCCACACAAATCTCGGCGATATAGACATTCTTTCACTCGGCACTTGGACGGGGCAAAGATTTATGTGTCTCAAGCTACACTTTTGCTCAAATATCGTGTATAAATACATACACTTTTGTCTCATGAATACATTTTCTTAATTCTCACACAAAATCTCTCTCTCTCTCTCTCTCTCTCTCTCTCTCTCTCTCCCTCCCTCCCTCTCCCTCTCCCTCTCTCTCTCTCTCTTCTTTCCCCTTTCCACTTTCCTTTTACAATTCGATTTACAATCGATTGTGCACAAGCGACCGCGCGATATTTCATCGGAAACGATGAAACGGCCACAAGTTGATGCAATTGTTGATTATTAGGGTGCAACGAGGCACTTGTTAAACGCATCCTGAAAAAAGTCTCTCGACAAAAGGGTCAAGTCAGCTGGTCTCCTCATCTAGAGATCTCGCGTGTCTGTACGCATGATGTACACAATGTTTCACGATTGAGTATCAGAAGCAGAGAAATGTGTGAATTCGCGTGAAATAACTACGAGATTTGTAATCTTGAAGCGAGAGTCAGAAGACCTAGAAGGTCGCTGATGCGATAAGTCAACGATACGATAGGTCCGGCTTGTGCAATTTAGCAGTTTCTTATCGGTGTTATACAGCACCTAGTTTCAAAATACAAGCCAACTTCCATTTTTCTTTTTATAAATCAGAGTCCAACGCGCGTCCATCAATTTTTATCTTTATCGGAGTAATCGGTTTATCGGAGTAATCGGTTACTCGTCTCTCCACAAAGATAAGCAGCAATCACGGGAATCAAGAATCAACGAATCGAGGAAATGATTTCGCGATCATTTTGTCTCACAGATATGCGAACGTCGAAATTTATTTCCTCAACTTCCTAACGCCTCGAATTTGTCGCGCAACGTTGAAACCTCCTGTAGCATTTCGCCGAGAAGAATCACACTTCTGCGGCCTGGGAACTGTTAGCCCAGTTAGCTCGGGTCGTAACGCTTCGAAGATTATGCCGTGTTCACGACGTACATTATCCCCGATGTTCCCACCAGCTTGCTTCAGTATAATCGCTCGAGCAGAAAGGAGGGTGAGGGGTGAGAGCCAGCATCACGCTTGATAATTAACATAGCAAGGACTCATTTTCAGGGCCAAGGTCTCCACCTCAAATTGCCTCTCACATAGCACGTTTATCTCTAGCCAACTTTTTCCCTTACGCGACTCTACTGCGCCCAACTATACACACATCTCATTATTTTCTCGCCAAACATGATCGATCGAGAGGTCGAGTCGAGGTGAACATTTTCGAAATATTTCAACGTGTTAAACTGTTAAACTGAACTTTTATAATTTTAACTGTAACGTCATCTCTTACATGTTCTACATACATGTGGGTGTGTATATACGTACATACATTTCTCGCTATCCCCTGTTTTTCTTATTTTAAACATTATATTTTGAAAATCGTGGACTTTGAGGCATTCAAAGTTTAAGAAAATATTGACCGAGCTTCGCCCGCGGTCTTTCTTGCGACGCACCGTGACGTTTACCCGGTGCTTTCCCTGGAGAACAAGGCGCATCACTGTGCGCTGAGCGCGCGATGCATTTTGCTTGGCACGTGCGTTTTTGCCGCAGGCTTCCGGTCCAGTTTTTAGCCTCGTCCTCGAGTCGGTCGACTCTTCGTTAGGCTCGACGTGCAACAAGGCGAAACCGAGACTTTTCCTCAAGCGGAATGACACTTTTTTCTCTTTTTTCTTTGCTATAGTAATGAGTCAAATTCAAAAATACCTTGCACACAGATTGCGTATACTAATAATTACAAGATGAACACTTGACCATTTTGTACAAACTTCGAAAAGAGACGCAAAACACTCTTTTATTTTACGTGGATATATATATATATATATATAAAATTTATTAAAACTTAAAATATCTAAACACACACACACACACACACACACACACACACACACATCGAAGCCGATAATCGCGAGGTCATTGTCCGACCGTAGAACCTCTAGTATCCTGGCAACCAGGATTGTCGGGAGTCATTCCGTGTCGCGCACTCGAATAATAAGGTGAGACAATGGGGATCCGAGACGCTCACAGGCGAGAATTACGTGTTTCGCTGTTACCGTTTTACGCGAGCGTATTATAACTCTTTCTGAATTATGCGCGCGCACGACCATAGGATTGCATACACACACACACACACACACACTCCTCATCCTCCTCTTTCCCTCTCAACTCCCGCTGATTTTTTTATGCGTATCACAATCTTGACAAAACTTTGCGTTCTCGCGTTTCGCGAGAAAAAAGAAAGGACACCTTAGAATTCCCCTTAGAATTCGATGAGCGTCGGCGCGCGCGACGATTTCCGACAAAGAGAATAGTACAATTGCGTTGGCGAAAACAATGGTAAAACAGCTGACTCGGGCGATCGAGATTTAAGCACTCGATCGAAGAGATCTCCTGGGAATCTTCCGTAATAACGGGATGGCAATCGCGAGACGAGTTCGATGACCGAAGACTCCCACGTAAGAAGGGCTGCTGTTTCTGTTTCAGGCACACGTGGTCTCAGCTTTCGAGCAGTCACTATCCAACATGACCCAAAGATTGCAACAGCTCACAGCTACAGCTGAGAAGAAGGTAAGATGAGTCGCAGGAGTCGCCGGCGACTCAGTAGTTACGACCCGAAAATTACCATCTTCTCCTTGGCGAGGAGAGTGAAGTACTCTTCTCCCCGGCAAGGAGAAGAATATGCGGCGCGATTTTTAACGTGTTTGCGCGGTATCGCGCGTGTATTCGCGCACTAGGATTCCGAGCTTCAGGAGCTCCGAGAGACTATCGAGAGGCTACGCAAGCAGAGCGCCGAAGCTGGACTAAACAACAACAACGGGTCGTCAACCGCCAACAACGGTCGCCGTCACACCCTAGGCGACTCCGAATCTGGCACTACCGGCTGCACCGGCAGCAGCGGCGGCGGCGGCGGCGGCAGCAGCGGCGGCAGCGGCGGCAACAATCACCACCACCATCATCATCATCATCATCATCAGGGTGCGATGGCAAGACAATTGTCCGCGGATAGCGTAACGTCCTTAAACTCACTGAGCAGCGCCTGCTCGGCCAGCAGCAGTCATCACAAGAAGAAGGGTTGGTTGCGTAGCTCCTTCTCCAAAGCGTTCTCGAGATCGCGCAAGAACCGTCACGGCTCGGTGTCGGACGCTGAGGACTGCAAAGAGAGCACCGGCGGTGACTTGAGCGCCCCGAACAGCCCTAGACTGCCGACCGCTGTGAAGCACGACTCGCCGAGAGGACCGAGAGGCGAAGCAGCACGGAGCAACGGTCAAAAGTCGCCGGATCACGAGAATCCCCTGTCGGGCAGCAAGAGCAGCTCGGCTCTGTACAAGAAGGAGGACGAGGATGTGGACGAGCTGAAGAAACAGCTGCGAGAAAAGGATCTGGTGCTCACGGACATTAGACTCGAGGCGCTCTCCTCGGCGCATCAGTTGGAGTCCTTGAAGGACACGGTCATCAAGATGAGGGTGAGTGGTGAGAGAGAGAGAGAGAGAGAGAGAGAGAGGGGGAGAGAGAGAGGGAGGGAGAGAGAGAGGGAGGGAGGGAGAGAGAGAGAGCCCTCTCTCAGACCCGACGAACCGAAAACGATATTAACCGATGATCCGATCGATTAACTAAACGTCTCTTTCAGAACGAGATGTTGAATCTCAAGCAGAATAACGAACGTCTGCAACGGCTAGTGACCTCCAAGTCTCTCACCTCGTCGCAGTCCTCGCTACCCAGCGATCCGGACCGTCGCTTCAGCATGACCGAAGTGGCATCGAGTGTCGCGGCTCTATCAAACGGCGACGCTAGTTCCACGGCGGACCAACTGGAGGAGCTCAACGTGCCGGAACACACCGTGGTGCCGTCGAGCGCGACGTCCGCAGAACCGGTCCTCGAACAGGACACGGACGGCAAGAGGATCAACGTAGCCGTCTACCTTGGCAGTGAGAAGAACTTCAACTACAACCTCCTAGTCACCGGCAGTTCCTCCGCCGACGGTAGCCTGGGTGGTGAGCCGCCGCATTGCGTGATCGCTAACGTGTGTATCAGTAATAAGACCAGCTGGGACGCGCTGGACTCGACTGTGAGACGTTGCTTCAAGGAGTACGTCTCCAGGGTGGATCCCGTGACGAATCTGGGCCTCGGTGTCGAATGCGTCGCCGCGTATCATCTCGGTGAGGCTTCCAGGTTGGTATCCTCCTGATCGTGGCCGTCTCAACGAACGGCGAGAGAGGTACTCGCGCGACTTGAGGTAAAACGGAATCTCTATTGGAATTGGAATAATACTCGGTCCCTTCTCCCCTTCCTGCCTGCTCGTAGATGTACCACCGACTCTCAGCATCCCGAACTGTTGCCCTGCGGTTACTTGATCGGCCACGTGAAGACTATCTACTTGGTGCTGTCGGGTTATTCTTGGCTCGCGGTAGACACCCTGATACCGCGCTCCATCGTCCAGCGACTCGTCTCCCTGCTGACTGAGCATCGTAGGGTGATCCTGTGCGGTCCGAGTGGTACCGGCAAGAGCTACCTGGCTGGAAAATTGGCGCACGCTCTGGTGGACACCGACAACGATACCAAAGACGCTGCGGCTGTCGCGACATTCAATGTGGATCATAAATCCAGCAAGGAATTGCGCCAGTATCTTGCCCACATCGCCGAGAGATGCGACTCGAATGCCGCCGACGAACTGCCGAGGGTCATTATTCTAGAGAATCTCCAGCACGCCGCGTCACTCGGCGAGCTGTTCAGCGGCCTCTTGGGAACCAGGCATTCCTCGTGTCCGGCAATCATCGGCACCATGAGCCAAGCTACTTGCAGCACCACCAATTTACAATTGCATCATAACTTTAGGTATATTTTTTCTTTTGTTAAACTGCTCTTGTTTGTTGTATTGTATTGAAAAGCGATATTAGCAGGATATATATACAAGTGTTTCTGATGCTATCGTATAATTACAACATAATGAAACAAGAAACGTCTTTGTCACTGCTGACTCTTCGAGTCGGCCTCGAGTGATTCAACCTCGCCCCCCCCCTCTCTCTCTCTCTCTCTCTCCCGCCCTCTCTCTCTCTCTCTCTCTCTCTCTCTCTCTCTCTCCCCCGCCCTCTCTCTCTCCCCCGCCCTCTCTCTCTCTCTCTCTCTGGAATATCTCTCGGATACATGTCAGATTAAAATGATGTAATCAAAACAGGTGGGTATTGTGCGCGAATCATATGGAGCCAGTCAAGGGATTTTTAGGACGCTATTTGAGAAGGAAATTATTGGAGCACGAATTGCGAGAGTGTGCGGGGACGAGGAATGCAGAAATGGCAGCGGTGGTCGAATGGTTGCCACGTGTATGGTTGCATCTCAACAAGTTCCTAGAAACTCACAGCAGCTCAGACGTCACCATAGGTAACGCAATCGAGAAATACTCACAATCACACATACATTACAATCTCTCGATCCTGTTGTATCGTTGAATCAATCACGGTGCCGTACTCGTCATCAGGACCACGGCTCTTCCTGTCCTGTCCAATGGAAGTGGCCGGCTCGCAGGTGTGGTTCACCGACCTGTGGAATTATTCGGTGATACCGTACCTAGTGGAGACAGTCAGGGAGGGCTTGACGCTGTACGGAAGACGCGTTTGCGGAAATGGCAATGGAGAGTCCACTTGGGAAGATCCGGCGCAGTTTATCACGTCCAGTTATCCCTGGCTGTCCACACACGCCGTGCACGGCGGTAGTGACGCTCTTCTACGTCTGAGACCCGAAGACGTAGGCTACGATGTCGTCTCTAGCGGCCATACTTCTGGCGTGGGAGCTTCCAGCGTCAAGAGTCTCGGAAGTACTCACAGCGATACCGAGGGAGATCCTCTGGTGAGTATATTCGTCGAGGTATTCAGATTGTCCAAAAAACTTTCTCTATGGCTTCTTCTCTGGCTGGAGGGATGGACGATATCACGTCAATTAATTTGACATCGGTTACTTTTACCTTACGAAATCGACTTTATCGTGTGATATCTTTTCATCTCGTAGTTTCTCATCCCACAGTTTCCTACAGATAGTTTTCTTTTTTTCTTAATATGGTGAAACTTACATTATATGATAAAATCTATTCCTTTGACTCTATGTCTTACGTTTATAGCTTAACATGCTGATGAGGCTGCAGGAGGCAGCCAATTACTCGAGTCCCCACAGCAACGACAGCGACTCGGTGACATCCCTCGATTCGTCGCATACTCGCCACTCGGAAGATTTGAGCAGTTCCACGTCTTCGTCGAGAGGAGTGGAATCGGCACTCTGAAGCTCTCATCGCCGAAAAGTCGACCTACCGTGTATGTCGACCGCTCAATAATTAAAGATACCGGAAAAGTAAGGATTGATAAGTCCCGCAATTACGCAATCATTCCGATCGCCGAATAATCTAAAAAGCAAGGAGATTAATTACCAATTAAAGAATAACTATACACAATAAATATCTTTACCGAATAAAATTATCAGTAAAGCACCTCTAAGATTAAAGGCCGAGAAAGATTACGAAAGAAAGTTACGAATATCGTTAAATCTCGTATTTTCGCAAGCAAGATGAGAACCGGGGTAAACCGTTGCGCGAGATTATCTACCTTTTATCGCAGCGAAACGTCGTGAAGGGGAAGGGGAAGGGGAAGTCTCGCGCGCGCGCGCGGAAAAACCCCTCTGAAGCGCAATGAGTTTACAAAAAATTACAAAGCGCTAGATATTTTAAGATCGCGCGATACGAAATACAACTTTGTAATAACTCAAGAGGGATATTAATTAATTGCCTAGCCTAGAGAGCTGGCCTAGATTCTTCAAAGTTCTATGTGCGTCCAGCGCTTAGGTGTGATATGTAATTAAGTGAACGAACGGCAATGACGAATGTACGATGACTCCTCGCTTCACGAAGGAGAGACAAAACGAGAGAAATTGACTGTTTTTTTTCTTTTCTTTCCAGAATTCTCGCAAAGACGAAAAATTGCATTTATTTTTCTTGTTTTTTTTTTTTATTTTCTTTTGGGACTCTTGGGTCGTTCTTGTTTGACTTTTTCTTGTTTGATTTTTCGAATAAAATTAATCCCAATGCTGATAGGAGAAATGTAATTTCTCTTAACAAAGATGTATTATCTTTTTCTTTGTTTCCTTCCTCGTTTCTTCTTTAATTCTTCGCATCACTGCAATTTGTCCCACAAAGAGCTTACCGATACAAGTATATCTCAGAGGCGCGATGTTTGTTGCAGAGTGATATTTTCCATCAATTTCTTTCCGTTTGGTTACTTTTTCGCGAAGCGTACGCGCAAACGTAATGCAATAATCTCCATGCTGTCGTTGCGGAATTATATTTTAGAGGGACGCATTTTTTACTCGCGACGAGACGGTGCGCAATTAAAGAACATCTCGTCGATCTTGTCATTCGGTGTATACAGTATTATGGCGGAACGATAAGAAAGAGCGGTTTCGAACCGGGGAATCCTCAGAGAATAGAGATTCCTCTCTCGTCCGATTATTTTTCAGATAAAAATTATCTAGACACAGACTTATAAAGATCTCGAGGACAAATGACGAATCGCAAACTTTCGCTTGTATCGCAAAAGAGAAGCGGCGAAATACAAAGAGCGAGAAAGAGCAAGCAAGTTGGAAGAAAGCGGTTGTAGTCTGTGCAAAAAGATAGTCTATTTATACATACTTTGCTACAAAAGCTCTATTTAATTAAAAATGTTAATATAATATAATATATAAATAGTATATACATATGTATGTGTATGTACGTGTGTGTACGTATATACATACGCACACGTCTATACCTGAATGACGATGGCGCTAACGTGTATGTGCGTATGTATGTATGTGTGTGTGTACATGTATATATATATATATATACACATATACATACATACACACATACACACACACAAACATATACATACACGTGTGTGTGTGTGTGTGTGTGTGTGTGTATGTGTACATATGTATACATATGCACATGTGTACATATACACATGTACATATGTACATACGTATGCATGTATACATATATATTACAAATGGAATTTCTAGCTAAACTAAGGTAACGTCGATAATTCTGGTCACATAACATTGTGTAAATACGAGACAAAGCAAGATAGACTACATTAAGCGCGCGAGTTCAATTTATCAAGACCCAAAATTTGTGATTCTTGATATCTCTTGCGATATCGTCCCCTTGCACTTTTCTAAATTTTCGTAACAAACAACAACTCAACCTCAACTCGATCCGATTTTCGACGAATTTCAACATGGATGATAACGGCGATTCAATTTTTAGTTCGACTGTACAATACATACATTTATCTTTTTCTTTTTTCTTTTGCGATTAAGAACCACTATTGCAGTATCGTTGCTTTTAGCAATATCACGATAGTCAATTTTATTTAATTTTTATTTTATTTCATTCTAACATTTTAATCGTGATGCTGATATATATATATATATATATATATATATATATATATATATATTCCAGATGCACAATTTTCTAAAAAACGAAGCGAGCTTAACAAGATTTTTGAGTAAAGGAAAAATGTGAAAAATACAAGCAAATACAGTCGGCATTTGGGATAACAATTAAACGACCTAGATCACACGGGAGATGTAAGGCGGGGATCACACGAAAACTATACATATTGTATATGATCGGTGCCCTACTACGACAGGCACGTCAACGTATAATATACACACAAGATTATACAGTCGCATTTACAGGTTTTTTACGTTTGTACTGCATTTATACTATATGCTGTACTCTGGCGCCGCGCTCCAACTCTGTACTCAAATAACGATAATTAATTGTGTCATCAAATAAATTGCATTCAAATCTGTGGCTGTGTGATTCGCCTCACTTTACTTTACAATAATTCATCTTGCGATGACGATAATCGTCACATCTACCGAGAAACTGTTTCCAATGAAGAAACAATAAAATTTTTAGGAATACAAAATTTTGTCAAGATATTGGAAAAAAACTGACGAAAATAATGAGAAAATTGATAAGTATTGCTTCCATGTCGTTCTGAATGTTCAAGGTAAGGTTTTTGCAAACAGGCTTCCTTCAGCTATATACTTACTCTCTTTTACAAAGGAATCTTTACTCCGATTCTTCCTTCAAGAGAGTTTACATTCTTTTGAATTTGATCTATTTTTTATCATATCATCGAGAAACATGTCCGTTTACGTTGAATTAAATTGTCTTGAAAATGATTCTCAGGCTACCGATGATCCAAGATCACGTTGGAAGCGTACTTCTTTTCACTGAGACAATTCTCCACTATAGCGTAGACAGTGAGCAACCTTCTGTCCATGGCACTTAGATGCGCCTCTGTAATGAGCGGAGAAACCTGTGATATTTCCGCCTCATGTGCAACGAGTTTGCCCAATGCGACGCTCAGGGAACCGCCGCTGAACAAACGCAATCTATCCCATGTGGTTTTGTGAATCCTGGGAAGAAGAGATTATTGATTATTTTAAAACTTATCTCTTCTTCGTACGCCAATGCTTTCAGTCGTTTCAATATCATTTTTAGGTGTCATTAAGGTGAAATGTTTTCCACTGCTACATTATCAAATGTATTAATAAAAAAGAAGGAGTATATCAAAGTATATCAATTTCTAGGCGACTGACTGGACGACTCTCAGGATGCAAAGGTATCCCCGGAAATTACAGATATTTGTACAGTAATTTGTGTGTAATCCTCGTGTAATATCGTACATTAGAGATGCGGCTGATCAAATTGTACCTACATGCAACACTGGTAAAGAGGCGCTAGAATGTCGAGATGATCCACGTCGGGATTGCCCAGGCTTTTCCCGTTATCTATTAATAGCACTGCCGGGTTGTGGAAATTGTTTTGTGCGAGCTCGTAATGATGACGATCACCGTTGTCTATCAAAAAGTCGAAGATTGCTGTGTCGATCAGATCTAACAATCTGCTCGATGACTGCGGTGAATAGGCTTTAGAGTCTTTCACCTAAAATAATTTTCCAAATAGCTAAAATAATGCACCGCGTGCGTGCGTGCGTGCGTGCGTGCGTGCGTGCGTGCGTGCGTGCGTGCGTGCGTGCGTGCGTGCGTGTATATTACGCGCGTGTATACATCGCGCAATTTATAAAAAAGTATCATTCGTCAAACTTGACGAATCAATACGCATTAACTTTATAAATAGGTGAAGTTTTATTGGCGCTTTACTCTTGACATTGACATATTCGCGGCCGCTGAACGACGACGCACGATAACGCAATACTCATATATTACTAAGTAGGCGCAAATACTCATATATTACTAGTAGGCGCAAATGTAAGATAGATGTAAGAACCGTACGATTGTTCTCAATTATCGCATACTTTATCACAGTAAGCCTCGTCAATTTCCCACGTGGCGAATTTGTTCCTTTTGTAGGTTCGCTGCCAAGGATGACGGTGCTTAACGAGTCTTAGGTATCGCGGAAGCCAGAAGATGAGAGCACCCTCCAATATGTCCCCTACACCGCAAACGGGGTCTGCAGGGGAGCAGTAGTGACAAACGCCGTATAAGCACGTGTCATTACCTTCCTGATACATAGTCGTGTATAACGCTGGCGTCGCACGGTCGCGAATCTCCTTCAAGTCAACTGTAACAGTACAGCCGCCACTTCTTGTGACTAATTTCTAATCAGAGAGAAATCAATGAGAATTATATAAACTGATATCGCAATTCCGCGATAGGCTCTTTCTCAAATTTCACAGTCTCGCTCAACGACTTCAACGTACGTTTACGTGCAACAACAAGGGGTACTCTTCGCAGCGCCAGCAAAGACGACAAGTGAAAGGCCACCACTTCAGCGTTGTGTCGGTCCTTGCCAAAATACACCGGTCCATGTAACACGGTGTCCCTCGAGTACCATTGTGGTTTGAACAATGCCCTCACGCCATTCTCCAGGTTTAGCATCAGTTTCAGTTGTGTACCCAACGGTGCGTTATCCGCGCGGATCACCTTGGATCGCCGCAGAATCTCCAAAATGGTGCCCAGTTCCGGAGCTGCTGGTGGAATCAACTGGTGGGCATCGGGCCACTATGCATCACAAGTCATATAGCAAACAATAATGAATTTATCCCTCATTTTCAGGTATTAATACACTGAAAGATGTTTATATCATTGAAACGTGACATCTTTGTGTAGTATTCTGCATTTACATTTTCCCACTAACATTATTATTTGGAATATTCCAAATGTCTTCTCGAACGTTTGGCATTATTCTTAGTTCAGCCAGAAGCCGTTCCAAAACAAGGCTGTAGCTGGTGTTCTGCTTGAAATATTTGGATGGTAGTGTACGAATTTGTTCCCTGATCTTCTCACCCATATCTTTAGCAATAGGCCTCAATTGCAGTTGTGAATCTCTCTCAATGGGCCGTGAGGATGTGGAAATGTCCTGTCTACTCTTTGATACAGACACTGGTAGATTCTTGGAGTATATCTTTTGCGAAGAACTCTCGACGATCGTCCGGATGAAATATACATTCACACCAAGGACCAAGATCAGCAGGGTGCCGAGGGCGAAAAGGGCGCAACGTCGGTCGATCATTTATGATTCTTACTTTCGGGTCCTGTGTTAGATTCGCAATTATGCATTCGACTAGGGCTGCTATAAACCAGTGTGTGTGTGTGTGTGTGTGTGTTTACATGTAGTTGTGCATAGCACAAAAGTGTACCGAGCAAAAGAGGTGTGCATTCAACTGTATATATAAAAATTTGTATATATATATATATATATATATATATATATGTGTGTTTTAAACAGTATCTTGCTGACCCAATAATCAACGATTATTGTGACTGACAAAGACATCCGCATATATCAATACAAATTGAAAATTGAAAACTATAATAGTAATACAGCTATACAATTAACAGTGTCTTTTCCATCATGAGTACATCTTTAACATCAAGTAACATGTAGTAAAATGTAATCATAATGTGATCGTAATAACACTCTGACACACAAATGACACTCACGGTTGATGCCAGGAAGAAATTCGACCCATTCAACGAACATTGACGATTATGTTAAATATCGGAATACTGTCTCACCTTGCTGAGCGATTAAGCACGTGTCTACTGTCATCTGACGACGCGTATCTTTCTCATTATTTGGCACATTGTATTACTCACGTCAAATATAAACTCGCAAGCGACCATGCCCACGCGCTTTAATAATCGGTGACGTTCCAGAGAGCATGTCTTTTAAAGAAACGGGATCTCCGGGAGACTCTAACTCTAACTTTAACTAGCTCTGGAGCTCTTTAATCGATTCAGCGGATTCCTTACTTATCAGACGTGTGGACGGCGAGCTTCGAGTGCGCGTAATAGTTGGCACCACGGTCGTACCGGCGCGTTCGGCGAGAGCAAGAGATGCGTCGCTTCGACTCGATTCAGTTCGTAGACGAGCCAGACGAGCTCCGTTACGTCGGAGGTGACGAAGCGGTCGTAGTTTCCTCGGTCGCGTAGCTTACGCGTTTTCGCGTCGGAGAACATCGTGAGATTCATCGCAGAGAAACAAAATTGTGAACATGAAAAGTGCGTGAGATTGTGCGTGAGATCGACCGACGAGAGCGTCAACGAGCACGGTAAGTAGTAACCCGTCGCAACAAACGAGAACGTCCGCACCCGAAACTCATCTGTGATTGCTCTACGAAATTAAACGCGAAAGCCAGTTGAAAAAAAAAAAGAGGGGAGTAATGATACGAAACGGAGTGAGATATTGAATTGTCGTGACGAGTGTCGAACTGACGCGCGTGCGAGAGAGAGGGAGAGAGAGAGAGAGAGAGAGAGAGAGAGAGAGACAGAGAGAGAGAGAGAGAGAGAGAGAGAGAGGTTATAAATCGCATCTGCCATCATGGGACGATCCGCGGTGAAGTTGCCATCGCGCGCACGGCTGTTAGGTCGACGTTCATCAAAATCCATATCGCGCGATGCATAACGTGAGAGATTGAACGTCCAAGAGAGATTGAAAGATCAGAACACAGAACGAAGCAGTTTGAAGTCAATTCCGTCGTGCGTGATGGTCGCCGCGGCGCGCGAGACAAGAGGTTATAAAGGTAACGGGCGAAGATCAGATGTCTGCCATTACGGCTGGACGTTCTCGCTTCGTGTTTGTCGCAAGTGCGTGCAGTAAATTCCCGTTGCTGTTCGTCGTCTTTGCGTGTATAATGCGCGTTGCGTCTATTCGATCGCGGCTCGATCGATCAATGCTGGGCGATGGGAATCGTCCTGCTGCCTGACGAGACTCGCGCAAAAATGGAGGAGTCGCGATTCTGAGAAAAATTCTGGGATTTCACGAAAAGGGGACAATGTCCCGTGACTCACGACTCGTTAAATGTCATCAAAGTGTCAGGTGGTTGGAGATTGACAGACGGAAGGAAAAAGAAAAAGAGGGAAAGAAAGAGCATATGTGTGTATGAGAGAGAGAGAGAGAGAGAGAGAGATCAAACGAACGCTCCTTATCGGTACGTTTTTATCGCGCTACTTTCACGATCGTCGCGTGCACGCAAAACGCGCAACTGAGCGCGTGTGAATGCGCGATGCACAACCTGCCCCGGAGCTTAATTGGGGATGCTTTGAGCTATGTGTCGTATATCGTGTCTCGTGACTTGTGACGACTTGTGTAACAGGCTCCGAAACTGGAGTAACGTATCATTCCACTGTAGGAGAACTGTGTAGGAAAGAATTTAAATATTTTACGTACAATATGGCCATAGTGTCTCAAAATAACCAAGTGTCAATTCAATTCGACGTATTCTTTCTCGATTAATTCACAAAAAATCTCTTGTCCGCTACGAGCGGACTCTTGTCCGCTCGTAACATCACACGATGAGCAAACGGCGAGTCGTTTCGTCTATTTTCTATCGGATGACTTTGATTATTTTAGTTCCAAGATATTGATACGCGCGAAATAATATCGCTCTGATCGTGGTTAATGAAATTTTCTTTCCTCTATTTATGTCACGGTTAGGGCCGTGATCCAGAAAAGGACGGAAGGTTTGTAAGTACGTAGTTGGTCAAGAGTAGACTTTCCAATCCCGGGATCCTGGATCCCGGGATTTCGGGATTTCAAAATTTCATACTTAGTGTCTATATAATACTTGCGTTTTACAAAAATTTTACTTTAATTAATTATTACTGACTTATTACCGACTGACTTTTAGAGCATTTGCTAGAGAAGTGTGTATTCAAATATTTCAAATTTAATTCCATGTATTATTTTTATTTGTTTTAAATATTAAGGGAGTTTTCTATTTTAAATTTCGCGGATAAACTGGCGCAACACAGACTCCTCGAATCCGGGAGCCTCGATCAGATATCTTTTAACAAAATTTATGTTTTATTATTTTTAAAGTCGTTTTTTCAAATGTGAAAAAGAAGAAATAATTATCTTTATTTTTATTACGAAAACTTTAATTTTTAATTGTTAAACGGTTTTTGTGCAATCATTAATGTAAGTTGCTTTAATTGTTGCTGAAATTTTATTTTCTGTTTGTCATAATGTTCATAAAAGTCTATGAACGTTCTATAAATAAAACAATTCTATTATTTGTAAATATTTCTTGTTTCTTTCTTTACATATATATAATCCCGGGATGGAATCCCGAGAAAAGATCCTAAATTGTATCCGGGATTGGAAACTCTGATCAAGAGACTGTAATATCGTCGTTGAGAACGTTGAGACAGTGTGTCGGAATGTGCGGCTTAAAAATCTTTAAAGACGAATACGAATGATATATCGGTTCGAGTAATTTTTAACGATGAAATATCACTAAGGACAGTGGGACAAGAAAATTGTACTTTTTTAATGCTTGTGTAACATAATGTGCAAAAGATATTTACATGCAGAGAGTTTGTATCGCACGTGAAGAAATAATGTATGTAAATGTTTAAACGTATTGTATATACAAGTAACTTCGTTCGCGTTTATCCGGATACCGAGCGATCGATGTAGAAATTAGCGATAATATTTTTGTCGATTGTCCTTATCGCGATTGTTCTCGTCCAAAAGTCGGGGATGAGTCAAGCGAGAATAGCGAGATTGGATCGAGTGGATATCGACGCCAATGAGTCTCGATGGCCGGATAATCCATCGTCAATGAGCGCGTCCTCCGCTCCTTTCGGAGCGGTGAGCTCGAGAGCAGCAGCGACAACGACCGTGATCGAAAATTGTTCGATTTTGCGAGTAAACATTCCGATTATCGATACGTGATAAAATAATTTTCGGTTTTAAGAACAGAGAGCTAGGATAAGAACAGAGAGCATGTATTATCACTCACGATTGTCGGGGGGAGCAGCAAGAAAAATTCTGAAAAAAAGAAAATTTTCGTCCTTTGGGAATTTGAAGAAATGTTTCCTTTTAAAATCTTCCCGTTTTCCCGCCGCCAGTTATCAGCATCTCGAGCCGAGAGAACGAATTAGAAAATGATTAGAGCAGAGAGCGAAAGAATATGCACGTATATATATATATATATATATATATATTGTTCCCTTCCATAAATTTGGAATTTCGTTTGGAAAAGTCGTTTTCAAAAGGCCGCGCGACGCGCGTGCCGAGAGCATTAAATTTTCGCGTCGCGTCGCTTTCACACAAGCGGCTTTCAAACATTTTTATCGCCCTCCGCCTGGTCTTCATAATTCTCTCGGGCCGTTCCCACTTGGGTGACTTAAATTCTCGTCTCGTGCGACCGGATCGTGGCGCGTTTTTTTCTTTCGTTTTTTGTGACCGGCCGCTTGTTCCGGGTGTAGAGGCCGTATCTGGTCCCGACTTGCATTAACCGCTGGTGCGTGGTACGTCGCCGGTGGTGCGTCATGCTCACCCAGTTCGCGCATCTCGAAACTCGACGCCAGGAAGAACGACGGCCTCCGTTTTCGCTCGCGCGTTTCCGCGCGTAATTAGCATTTTCGAAACGCCCGTCGCCATCGTAATTAGTTCCGTGCAGTTTGCATCTCCCACGCGGGACGTGCGCGTTTCATCGTGCGGTGCGCACCGTCGCGCGAATTGTCACAGGTCAGGTCAGGTCAAGCTGCAAACCGAAGAAACAGCAAACTACTACGAGTGTCACTTGGCTGATCGTTCATCGTCGAAAAAGACGATGGAAACCTCGATCGCTCGATTAAGCTCGACACATGGCGATTCTCGCGTTTATACACGCAGCCTCTAATGATATACATCTACGTCGTAGGTTAATTATATTGTATTTCGTTCTGAACGAATCTCGCAACGCGCGACACATACTTTACCGCTTTTAGCTTAGTTTTAAGCGCGCGCGCAACAAGTGAGCAAACTCTTGTCTCTCTTTTCGCCGCGTATAAACGAGGCATTTTTTTTGTTTTGCATCTTCTCGCCTCATGTCGTTTCGTTACGATATATATATATATATATATATATATATAAACAAAAACGATTTGTTTGGTTTACAGCCCCGACGACGGCGAGGATGGCGAGCGAACGTACCGCCCGCACCTCCTCCTCTTGAATCTCGACGCGAGACGTGTGTGAGGAATCTGCGAGGAGGATCCGCTTCTACGTCGCATCCGCTCTGACGAGAGAGACAGACGTTCCACCTTCCCCAAGGGAGGAGAACTTTCCCGCGCGCGCGTTCTGAGACCACCACGTGCTCCGCGTTCGCGCTCTGAGAAAGTGTAATGACTCCGGTGAAGTTACATCATCTTGACGTGACACGTTGAACGTGTCCGGCGGCATGACTTCCTCGCGCGCGGTCCTCAGAGCGCAACGTCGACAGTGAGCAGCGCTGCCGATCGTGCCGTGGGCCGCATGCATCGATCGCCCAGGTTCATCACCGGTTGAGTCTCGCGTCATCGTCGGGAGCTTGCAGACACGGTGGTCAGAACCGAGGATTCGCGCGGCGAGATTTCAAGTGCGGTGTCCGGGCCTCAGTGAGATGGCCTTCATGATGAAGAAGAAGAAGTATAAATTCTCGGTGGAGGTCGACCTCGAAGAGCTCACGGCGGTGCCCTTCGTCAGTGCTGTGCTGTTCGCTAAACTGAGACTTCTGGATGGCGGTTCTTTCGTCGATCATTCCACCAGGTGAGTGCCGCTAATTTTTTTTTTTTGCCACCGATCAGAGATCCAGTGAACGGCGTAGCCGTTGTCTGTCACGCTCTACCATCCCGCGAATTATTCGAAGGCAGCAGCACTATCGCGACTGACTACTACTACTACTACTACTACTACTGTCCACGGCATCGTTGTTTCGTTACACTACTTTCGCCTCGTGCGAAACGTGCGCAAGAGTTTCTCGGTATAAGAATGCGCTCGCTCCCGCAACGGAAACTCTCTTTCTCCCCATTAATAACGGTCGTGAATGCTTCGCGATCAATTTGACCTACTCAAAGTCGATGCGACGCGTGTGCTGCGTGTGTACAAGTACAATACTAGCCACTACTAGCTCGCACGGCGCTATGAAATCTTGCGTCCTCGCTCGACCGCGAACCAGTCCTCTAAATCTCTCGTGGGGATTGATTCGTTGCGAGAGGAGGAAATCTTCCTCCCCCAACTTGTGCAAATTCGCGATTAATTTCAAGTACAAATGTGTCCTTGCTCTTTCGTGGAACTGACGTCGCGATTCGACGAAGAGAGAGAGAGAGAGAGAGAGAGAGAGAGAGAAAGAGAGAGAGAGAGAGAGAGTGTCTTCCGTAACTGACAGCTAACGCAAATTCAAACAGACAACATTGTCCCATTCGCGATATTTGCATCCCGTGTCATCAACGCGCATCGTGCTTTCCTTCGAAATAATGGAATTATGTTTCTGTCCATGTGCAAATGCGTGCGATACAAATTTCACCGTCATCATGTAAGCGTTTCTGCTTAACGACGCATTTCACCGTGCGCGGAATAATATATACGGCGAAACGTAAAGTGTAATCCTTTTCTCAGAGACGAGACTCCCCTACGTGTGTTCCTCACGCGCATCTTTTCTTCCTCTCCTCACCCACTACCCTCCCTCTTTTCTCTCTCTCTCTCTCTCTCTCTCTCTCTCTCTCTCTCTCTCTCTCTCTCTCTCCCTCTCTCTCTCGTTGACGGCTCTTCGACTGTCGCCAGAAGAAACAAATACGTACAGGTATGCGTATAACGTTTCCTTTTTTTATTTTAATTTGTTTTCCGCGTTGAAATGTATCTCTTCGTTCTCGGGTGTCTCGTTTCTTTGCCGGCCGGCAGCTGCGCCGGCCTTTCCTTTGCGTTTGTTGTTGAATAACAAAGTCGATAGAGTCAGTCGCGCAAAAATGATCCGACTCTATGACGTATAGCGCGTGAAACCGCTTTTTAAAACCGCTGCCTTTTATTCCGGATATCGGCGCGTATACGACGCGCGCCGTGTCCTCGTCGGAATACGAGGACGGTATTGCACCTGCATATCGAAATAGAGCGTTCGTGACTGGCGTATCGCGCGCTACCGGTATCGACTTCTCGTCGAAAAAAGATTCGACCGCGTGCTAATAACGTCGGATTCGTCAACTGCTTGCGTGAATCAAGTCGACATTTTTTACGAATAATTGTCGTATTTTCTACTACTTTCATCTCGGCATCTCGTTAAACCGCTGACAAGACGTTCACACACATACATGTATTTGGCTGTTGATGCTTCAACGTTACACGAATGAGTCGCGAATTTCGCGAGTCTGAAAAACTTCCCGTCGTGTGTGATCAATTGGAAGAAACGATATCGCGCTTGTTGCAGAATTAATTGCCGTCTTGACGACCAATCAAACGAAGGCTTGTTGTTCGATCGATCGCGTAAATCTTAACCCACTTGCGCACTATAATCCACTTAATGCGACTATAACAGTTGCATGCAACTCTGGCGAATCGAACGCGTTATTGTACGCGTCGTTAAGTTCCGTTGATATTTCCTTGGTACGCTCGGGAAACTTTAATTCGATGTAATCCCGCTGTGCGACTTTTTCCAGACGATGTCTCCCATCCTTTGGTTGGGGTGCTCGCGCAATCCCAAAGTTTTTTCTTGTATCACGGTCACGCAACGATGTTGCGATCCGTCTGTGATGTCTTTCAAATTGAGAAGAATACCGCTTTGGAGTATTCAAGAGCATGGCATTATTCTCGGATCATTTCGAATACCGTCGTTGCAATCCGGACCGTTGGAAATCCGGAAACAGTTGGATATTCGAAAAGCGGTGAACCGCTTTTAATGTTACTTACACTTGTCTATCTTTTCCTTTTGATCCATGAAATACACGGCGATACACGTTTCTACATAAAACAGAGTAGGCGGAACAAGGGGCGCAAATGGTGGTGAAGCTTCCGATCGTTTTGTGCCGCGATCCGTTACATGTCTATCGATTAACTATAATGACTCGCTATTCTATAAGATAACTATACTCAGCCTTTGCTGAATGCATTTTGTCGAAGGAAAAGAAATAGCAATTAACGCATCCGCCAGTAATTTGTAGATCTCTCTATCTCTCTCTCTCTCTCTCTCTCTCTCTCTCCCCTCTCTCTCTCTCTCTCTCTCTCTCTCTCTCTCTCTTCGACGGATATATATGCGTATCATGTCGAGCTAAAAGTGCGCGGTAACGCGGACAGCGCGATAATGAGAAATTTGATTAATCGCACAGGCGTGAAAACGATTGCGCGGCACATTTCGTAGAAATCGCGATTCGCCGCGAAGAATAATTTGGGACCAGAATAATTTGAATTGATTGGACTAATCAGACGCGCATTACGATGTAATTACGATTAGGTAATGATTAGATAGCGCACTAATTGAATTATCAAGCATCACTGCGTTCACAGAGTATTTTAGTCGCTAATTAATCACATAGTTTCTTAGTCATAACAACAAAGAATAGAGCATAGCACTACGATAGCGCACCGCATTGACCCATATTTTCGTCGCATGTTTAACCTGCTGCCAAGTACGGCACGATCTAAGATCGTGAGCAAAGTTATACTTTATATCAAGGCGCCGTTGATGATGCTCCGTTGTTTCGACTACTCCAACAATTGATCATTCGGGGGATTGTACTTTCAATTGGAATCGGAATCGAAAGTAATCGCTAAACTCTCAACGAATTCATTCGCGTGCGCACGTGAGAGTGCAAGTAGATAGTAAAATCTTATCGTCCCTCGCAAACACTCCGAAGGACCAACTTTGGCTAATGGAACTTTAATTTGCCCAATTTGCCCCATTATCCGGAGATATTTAACTTTGATAATTAACAAGTTCCACAACGAGAAGCAACGCGGATTTTCGGATTTTCGTCGATGAGATATGGAATTGCTCAAGGAACGAATAAACAGGGAACAGTAGCTCTTCAGTAGGTATTCTCGTATATTCTCTGATATAAGGACGAAATTGAATGTATCAACGGAGAATGCGACGGATTTTAGAAGGGGCAGTTATAATTTCGGCACAAAATGATATGATATTATAACATTGAGTACGAGTAATAATATTGAAAATAAGTGAATAATGAAACATCGCACAAGGTAAAATATAATTTTCGAGAGAGCGAGTGATATACACATTTAGGTGAACGAGGAGCAATCCGCTATGTATGCGAGGACGAGAGACCGCGATGGTAATTAGCTGCCGTTTGAAATCGAAACATCAAGTGGCGCGAGAGAGAAACGGGGACATCGTCGTAGGATCGGTATGTGCGCGGTGGAATTCTGCATTGTGCTTAAGATTGCGGCGACGTTTACGTGACAAGACTCGCGTTAACGCAGAACCGGTAATTCATCGCAGACTTTGTGTCGTCGTGTGACTGCTCGCGCCCTACACAACAGAGAGAACTAAATTCAACGACAGCTCGCCCGGCGGGAGCTAGTTCCTCCCAGTTTTTCCCGGCTCGCGAAAAGAGCGCGCGAGCTTGCGCGTGAGCTTCGCACCGAAATGATGATTCACTGTGAAAAAATGTATTCGAGTCGAGTGCTGAATTCTCCTCTGTCGTAATATGGCCCAGCTCAGTTATTTATGTGCTTCATGTGTGTAACAAGTCGAGGGAAGCGCACGAATAAATAGGTAAAATTCCACATTGCTCGCAAAGAAAAGAAAAATCACGAGGAAAAATTGCTTCTTCGTTATGCGTTTTAAAATGTTTAAAATGTTCTGAGGCGATAAGGCGCGAAATTTGTACGCGACACGCGAGAAATAACGTGTCTGGACATGCCCAGCAACAAAGAGACGCACACTTGTATCTACATATGTGCTCGTATCCGTGGTTGTCGACACAATTCGTTTTGAATTGTACTTATCTTTGCAAATAAATGCCATTCAATTACGCACGCGCGCGCACACCTCGTCTAGCTCGGCCAGCAAATCGCGGCCACAATCGGGTCGGGGAGATAAGCGTCGGTCGTCCTCGAGTTTAGTCAGTTTCGCCACAGTTTTGAACCATGACCTTCCGCGAAATCGCCTTTTAAACCTAGGTTATTACGACCAGCGAATGCGATGCGCGAAAATTCCACGCGATGATGCGGCGAATCGTCGAAATCGTCGTACGACGCGACGCGACGCGACGGCTCGACGGGCAAAGGACACACGAGGCGACTTTGCGAGACTTTGCGAGAAGCGAACGAGAGAGAGAGAGAGAGAGAGAGAGAGAGAGAGAGAGGGAGAATAGCGATGCTAATTGAAAATTCTTTCGATATTCGCGTGTCAAGTATAACAGAATGTTATACTGCGGTCTCTTTCTCTGGAGGGAGCAGCGAGACATCCGTGACGGAAGCTCGAAACATTTCGCACATTCGCGCGTCTTTCGACGCGCGATAAGGGATTTCGTTGCTGTCCCGTACGACAACCCCCCGTAACGAAAATGTGAAGAGGGGCAGAGATTTTTACGATCGTCCCCGACGAGGAATGGGGGAGGGGGAGGGGAATCCGGTTCCCATGGAGTATTTACTTATGGAAAGACGCTCGGAGGAGATTTACGAGGGGCAGCGACGGACGCGGGGCGGGAGGGAAGAAGAAGGGAGAAAATTAGAAGGAGGAGAGCGTGCGACGATAATGGACAATGTCCTGTCGTACGGACGGTGTCCCTGCCGGTGGAAGTGGAACCGGCCGTGTT